GCTCCTCTCTACTATCTTACGATTGATTAAAATACAGCTCCTCTCTACTATCTTACGATTGATTAAAATACAGCTCCTCTCTACTATCTTACGATTGATTAAAATACAGCTCCTCTCTACTATCTTACGATTGATTAAAATACAGCTCCTCTCTACTATCTTACGATTGATTAAAATACAGCTCCTCTCTACTATCTTACGATTGATTAAAATACAGCTCCTCTCTACTATCTTACGATTGATTAAAATACAGCTCCTCTCTACTATCTTACGATTGATTAAAATACAGCTCCTCTCTACTATCTTACGATTGATTAAAATACAGCTCCTCTCTACTATCTTACGATTGATTAAAATACAGCTCCTCTCTACTATCTTACGATTGATTAAAATACAGCTCCTCTCTACTATCTTACGATTGATTAAAATACAGCTCCTCTCTACTATCTTACGATTGATTAAAATACAGCTCCTCTCTACTATCTTACGATTGATTAAAATACAGCTCCTCTCTACTATCTTACGATTGATTAAAATACAGCTCCTCTCTACTATCTTACGATTGATTAAAATACAGCTCCTCTCTACTATCTTACGATTGATTAAAATACAGCTCCTCTCTACTATCTTACGATTGATTAAAATACAGCTCCTCTCTACTATCTTACGATTGATTAAAATACAGCTCCTCTCTACTATCTTACGATTGATTAAAATACAGCTCCTCTCTACTATCTTACGATTGATTAAAATACAGCTCCTCTCTACTATCTTACGATTGATTAAAATACAGCTCCTCTCTACTATCTTACGATTGATTAAAATACAGCTCCTCTCTACTATCTTACGATTGATTAAAATACAGCTCCTCTCTACTATCTTACGATTGATTAAAATACAGCTCCTCTCTACTATCTTACGATTGATTAAAATACAGCTCCTCTCTACTATCTTACGATTGATTAAAATACAGCTCCTCTCTACTATCTTACGATTGATTAAAATACAGCTCCTCTCTACTATCTTACGATTGATTAAAATACAGCTCCTCTCTACTATCTTACGATTGATTAAAATACAGCTCCTCTCTACTATCTTACGATTGATTAAAATACAGCTCCTCTCTACTATCTTACGATTGATTAAAATACAGCTCCTCTCTACTATCTTACGATTGATTAAAATACAGCTCCTCTCTACTATCTTACGATTGATTAAAATACAGCTCCTCTCTACTATCTTACGATTGATTAAAATACAGCTCCTCTCTACTATCTTACGATTGATTAAAATACAGCTCCTCTCTACTATCTTACGATTGATTAAAATACAGCTCCTCTCTACTATCTTACGATTGATTAAAATACAGCTCCTCTCTACTATCTTACGATTGATTAAAATACAGCTCCTCTCTACTATCTTACGATTGATTAAAATACAGCTCCTCTCTACTATCTTACGATTGATTAAAATACAGCTCCTCTCTACTATCTTACGATTGATTAAAATACAGCTCCTCTCTACTATCTTACGATTGATTAAAATACAGCTCCTCTCTACTATCTTACGATTGATTAAAATACAGCTCCTCTCTACTATCTTACGATTGATTAAAATACAGCTCCTCTCTACTATCTTACGATTGATTAAAATACAGCTCCTCTCTACTATCTTACGATTGATTAAAATACAGCTCCTCTCTACTATCTTACGATTGATTAAAATACAGCTCCTCTCTACTATCTTACGATTGATTAAAATACAGCTCCTCTCTACTATCTTACGATTGATTAAAATACAGCTCCTCTCTACTATCTTACGATTGATTAAAATACAGCTCCTCTCTACTATCTTACGATTGATTAAAATACAGCTCCTCTCTACTATCTTACGATTGATTAAAATACAGCTCCTCTCTACTATCTTACGATTGATTAAAATACAGCTCCTCTCTACTATCTTACGATTGATTAAAATACAGCTCCTCTCTACTATCTTACGATTGATTAAAATACAGCTCCTCTCTACTATCTTACGATTGATTAAAATACAGCTCCTCTCTACTATCTTACGATTGATTAAAATACAGCTCCTCTCTACTATCTTACGATTGATTAAAATACAGCTCCTCTCTACTATCTTACGATTGATTAAAATACAGCTCCTCTCTACTATCTTACGATTGATTAAAATACAGCTCCTCTCTACTATCTTACGATTGATTAAAATACAGCTCCTCTCTACTATCTTACGATTGATTAAAATACAGCTCCTCTCTACTATCTTACGATTGATTAAAATACAGCTCCTCTCTACTATCTTACGATTGATTAAAATACAGCTCCTCTCTACTATCTTACGATTGATTAAAATACAGCTCCTCTCTACTATCTTACGATTATACAGCTCCTCTCTACTATCTTACGATTATACAGCTCCTCTCTACTATCTTACGATTGATTGAAATACAGCTCCTCTCTACTTTCTTACGATTGATTAAAATACAGCTCCTCTCTACTATCATACGATAATGGAACGATAGTATAATGAGGAGCTGTATTTTAATCAGATTGGATCCCTGCAACATATGTTTGGAAATAAAGAGAATAATAATAGACAATATCAGGTTGTCAGTTTTCTGGAGCAATCTGCTCCTTCATCGATGCACTTACTATAATGTGAGTGTTCTGAGTGTTCTGTCTCTCGATAAAGTAGCGAATTGTTCCGAATATTTATCAACATTTTATTGTATACACTGTTAGAATTACTTCATTGTCCAATTTAAGAACAAAATTAGTTGTGCCTTTATTTTCAGAACACCACGTACACTTAGCAATTATAATTTCTATGAAGTACTTATTTTGTGTTATTAGTTAAAAGGCATATGAACTTCGTTTCATCAGAGAGATTCAGAGATTTCAGAGATTTTTATTATCACTCAGGCACACTATTGTGCGCAACAAGAGGTCATCATAAAGTACAATATAACAATGATATGGTTATCAGAAGAGTAAGACGTTGTTAGATCATTCTCGAAACAGTGGAGAGATAATTATATAACCTTGCTGTATATACTCGATACAGCCTTCCCGGTATACATAGGAATGTTTGTATATCGATAAAGACAAAAATCCTTTCAGCCAGGATCATATTTGACGAGGACTACTACCCTTATATATGCTGATATATTTCATATGTGTCAAAAATTACATGACCCTGTGACGTACTAACTAAATATCCATACATACATCAGATATTGATAACTTTCTCGGAACTAACCGAAAAGGTTACTGGGAAACATGCATATGTAGGTTGGAGATATTGCTATGTGATATGCTAGTGTCCTAATCCTGGCTTCCAACTTCTGAATAAAGGAACGACAAATCAGCGGTGGTTGTTTCGCTGTCATTTTTAAAACAAAACACTCTAGAACATTCTATCTGGTTTCAAACTTTATAATATCTTAACATTAAATATACTCAAATCTGTAATATCAATAATCTCATTCGCGGAGGCCAGTATAGGCCAAAACTGACCTATATGTAGACTAGTTGCTATTTTATTTATTGCCTCCATTAGTAATAATCACATATAGACAACGATAAATAATGAAAATGCACAGGTAATGATTTTATTATATTAAGGTAAGTAGTTTTAGATCATATTTACATAAATTGCAAGTATTTTTATTTGAGTGACGATGTAATTGAAATGAGATTATATACAATTTTACTACATGTTTATATTCCTCACACATCTATTGTACTATTTTTAAGTAAATCTTTGGCATATTGTACACAGTACTGACAAAAGTTAGACGAAGTTCCCCAAATTAACTTATGGATGTACTAATATCATATACCATTTCATCGCCAATCAATAAATGAAATATAGTATTTTACACCCAAGTTCATCTCTTAAATTCTCTTTATATATATTTAAGGATTAACTTGAATATATTTTTCATGTTATGGAGCTATAACACAAAAAACCAGAGTGTACTCTAAATAAACCGCGAAGCGGTTTATGCTGAGAGGACACTCCGGTTTTTTGTGTTATATCTCCATAACATGAAAAATATATTCAAGTTAATCCTTATAATTTTATCTGCTATATACAATCCACTTTTATTGATGGACTCTTTTCTCTTAGAAATTATTGCGCTGCTGTATCAGCCAATCAAAAGCGACGTTACAAATGGCGACGTAATTTTTTACGTTATGGGCTGATAACATAAATTTTTAAGCCAATGAAAATGCTTGATACAAGCAAGATTAAATTATATACAATATAACGAGAAATGAATTGCCACATCTTTACATATATCCACATTCATAACACAAATCGCTGGACGGGTCTTACACCGCGGCCATGCAAACACACGTGTGAAGTGCACGTGTTATACCCCTTTTACCACACACTCCTCCACTTATCAGCTGTGAATATGGAAAACTAAAATTTATATATGTATCAGTTTGCAATCAGTCAAATTGAGCCAGAAATTCAATAAGCGTTTGCCAAACGTTGATGTGCACCAAGTCGCACGCATTGCTAAACTTGTCAAAATGGCAACACTCTTCACATGATGATGTTGTCAAAAACGTTGCCTCAAGATGTGATAACATGTACGACTAAAGGCTCTCGGCTTACGCTGTCAGGGTAATGAGGTGATTACTGTAGTGGCGAAAATACAAATGCGCACTTTATGTTTGATGTGTTACAGGTTTTTATTTTCAATTGTGACATGTGATCGACCAAATAAAAACAAAAACGTTTTACGTTTGTATGTATTGTTGGTGAGGTGAGATAAAAAGTGCGTTAACTTCAACTGGTTTGTGTGAGTCCTCACGTATTTAAGTTTTTAAAGTAACAAAGCTTCAGTAACTTTGCAGAACTCCTTGGTGCATTCCAGACCTCATCCAGTTGATTGGAACAGTGCTTTTGTATGCACAATAATATAGAATAAAACCTGTATGGATAATTTATATTTTCATTGACAGATCCTTCTTGACTACATTGGGTACGCCATTGCAGTGGTTCTGGGTTTCCTCTTCGTGCTCCTTTTCCCTCTTATTGGTTGCTGTTTCTGCTGCTGTCGTAACTGCTGCAGAGCCTGCTGTGACCGCCCGAAGACCGTCGATCCGAAGGCGTCCTGTAAAGTAAAGGTGTACGGGAGCATCTTCTTCGTGATGGTCACATTCACAATGTAAGTGAGATTGCCTAACATGGAGGTCCCACTGTAGTATCAAGAATTTCGGTTTGTACATCGAGATGTAGTCTGACACTTTTTGTTTTGAAAAAGCGGTGATTTCAATTAAGAATATATTTTGTTTGTAAAAATGTACAGCCTTTTATATAGAATTGTCGTTTTGGAGACTGGAATGTTTCCTGAAAAAATATGATATTTAAGAAGAGACGATTATTGATGCACCGCCCTATTTTAATTTCAATTGTCTACAATTACTTTCATGCATCTATTGTTTAACTTCCCTCCTGAGCTGTCAAATAAAATGACCAGGTAATGAATTATAGATCAATGATTTGTTGAGAGATGATACTAAAATAGACCCCAGTTATGCCTTAGTTAGAAAGCAATACCATCGTCTACGATATGACTTTCCCGTATTTCAAATGCATATGCTCCAAAATACACACAAACATTAAGAGTAGGTATACTTATATACATATGTTACAGTAGAAGCTAATATATGCTCCACTTGTGATGGCTGCGGCTATGTAAAAAAACAGCAATAATGAGAGATTGCACTAAAATGAGAGTACAGTAAAAATAAATAAACGTTAAACAGAAGATAACACCATATGATGACTTTATAAGCAAGAGTAGAACTACGAAATGAATACAGTTTCAAACAATGCATTAACCTTGTTTAAAAGGAAATAAGGAATAAAAAATGTCTCGGTCACAATGACCTACCGAGTTGTCTCCCTTTACCTTTACACATTGCTGGTCATTTGTATATCAACCACTCACTGTTAACCATTCTCCGTCCTTATTTGAGTTTTTCTGTAATTTCGGTAAAAAGTACATCAACATTACTGTGTGTACATAGACTATGATGTTATCAACGTGATCAGTGATTTGGTCAACAAATGTATTTCACACATCTACTGTATCGTCTTATTGTAACCCACAAAATTTATGAATGGAAATTAAATCATTACTTTGTCTTGTTGCATTTCATACGAAAATTTGTTTCTTATGTTTTGTCCATGCATAGCTTCATAACTCCTATTACTAAAACATGACAGAAATGGTCATCTCACATTGGTTCTAAATTTTTTCCCGTGTGTTGTCGCTGTGGTTTATTGCTATTTGTGGAGTTTACTTGTTTTTATACCTATTTATAGGTTTCAAGGGTAGATGACGTGTGTTTCAAAGAATGTTGATTTTGTTTCTACATAAAATGTGCTTTTAATTAGTTACTCACCATTTTATATTTTTTTGTGTGTGAGATACCGTTCTACCTGTAATTTGTATTACCATATTACCTTTAGAATTGAAAGCTATCTGTGTAACTTTATATTTTATTAGTAATCCACCATTTAATATGGTTTTTTTTTTTATTCTTGGAGAAATACCGTTTTACCTGTATTTTTATTAGTAAGCTACCCTTTTACCTGTGTTTTTATTAGTATGCTACCATTTTAACATGTTTTTTATAGCCTCCATTTTGTACCTTTGTTTTAGTATTTTTCATTTAACATTTCTTTTATAAATCAGCTACCATTTAAGATTTTTTTTATTAGTAGGCTACTGTTTTACCCATTCAATAATTAGTTATCATGTAAGACCTTCGTTATTAGGGCTCCGTATCGGAGATACGGGTGCCCTACAGTAATCACTCTGTCTGTCTGTCTGTCCGTCCACAAAATTTGTTCCTGGCTGATAACTTTGGTATCTATGGACCGATGTACATGAAACTTGGTCAAGATGTTCAGTTTACAAAAATACACATTGAGGTAAAAAGTCAAGGTCAAAGGTCAAGGTCATAAGGTTCAAAGGTCAAGGTCAAATTTCACTGATGAACATTTTGTTATGACATTATGAAGCAAAGTTGATCAGAATTAAACAAGGAGTCAACTGACCTAAGGTCAAGGTCATCGGGTCAGGGGTCAAGGTCAAATTTTGAAGCTTTTCACTGATGAACATTTGTTTATGACATTATGAAGCAATGTTGTTCAGAACTTAACACAGAGTCAACTGACCTTAGGTCCAGGTCACAGGGTCCAAACGGTCAAGGTCAAGTTTTGTATTTTTCACTGATGAACATTTTGTTATGATATTAAGAAGTAAAGTTGGTCTGAATTAAAGAATAAGTCAACTGACCAAAGATCAGGGTCACTGGGTTAATGGTCAAGGTCATTTGGGTCCAAAGGTCAAAGACAAAGTTGATCTCTGACTTTGACCCTGGCTCTTGATGGAGGAGGTTTATAAGGTGAAATAAAACAAATCAAAGCTAACAAATGAGTGTTGCACTGGTATTTACATTTCTGTTAGCCCAGCAAATATGGAGGTGGAAGGAAACTAGACTCACATCATAGTACATGTAAAATGAATATTTTGCTTCCTTGCGATTCTTTTTGAAGTCCAAATGTCAAACTTCAAGCTCAGCTTCATGGGCAGATCGCTTCTTGATGATTATGGGGGATATATTGCCACATGACGGGACCCTTACTGACCTGTCAGTGTTCTAGTTGGTAAGCTGTCACTTTCCCTTTTCATTAGTGCAATTTTAACATGCAATATTATGTAGTTAACATACTGCCTTTTCTTGCTTTTGGATTCATTTTTCCAAAGTATATGTAGATTTCAGTCTCATGGTCACTTTTTGAAGGATTTTGTCAACATTAAATATTTCTAAACCGCTATGAATATAATAACCACTTTTATTTTATTTTCTTGATTACCTATATGTTAATATATCTTTTACAGTGCAGGTAATGCGTGTGTGTACGTATCAAATGATCGAATAACGACCGCCCTGGACAAGGTTACTGGAACGGTGGACGACAACCTGGACGATTTCGACTTGTTTCTTAAATCAGCAGAGAAAGTGAGTTAAATCGTTTCTATTTTGTGGACATAAATTTGGATTGTGTATTTATGCAACCCTCTTTTTGTTGTAATCTGGTCATGACCTTTACAAAGTTACAGCATCGCCTGTGAATCGACAAGGTAGCAATCGGGAACCTTCGGCAATTTCCGTATCACGTTTACGGAGAGTGCCGACGGTTCCTGATTGGACAAGACAGACTTGTCATCATATCATCACACTGTGCCATCATATTGGTGCATAACCTTACCATCGCCATCATATAATGATACCATTGTATCGCTTGGATGATTAAAGGGCCCTCACCATGAAATAAATACTACATTTCTCGAGACCATTCAGTACAAGGGCTACATAGATAGGCGCATTTACCATACTTACAAACAGGTATACAATGCCAAAAGTCTAAACCTTTACCAGACATCAATGACCTGTTTACGTCAGTAGCTGGTGACAGAATGATTTTATATGGGTACCGCACCACCTTTGAATGACTTCATTATACATTTGTATTTCCTAGCCGTGGATCAATAATTCAAAAACAGAGGAATGATTTTCACGAAAAAACATACAAATTATGGTATATAAATTATTTGTTTTCGTGTAAGCATGATATTCGGAGTGTATTTCCGAGTTGTTCTTATCTCGTGTTGTTAAAAAACAATAGCATTGGAATTGTTGTAATATGTGTTAGATTTATGTTATCATAATTATCATGCGTATATTATGGAACGCCATAGCTGTCACATGAAAAAGTCAATTCATATAGTATTTTTATGCCGTATGTGACAGATATGGCGTACCATAGTATATCATTTCATAATTTCCTTTGTAGCAAATCGATCAAATAGGAGCAAACTTCAATGCAACCACTACTGAAATAGACAAGCAATTGGACTCAACAGGTATTTACGAGATTATCCGTATAAACCTAACGACTTGCTTGTAAAGAGGATCTCTGTAAAGGTTAATTATCGTTAAGACATAACATAGTGCTATGGTTATATTTCTCGTACCAGTGCATTTCTGAACTAAAATGTCAGAAAAATAAATATAGAAATAAAACAAGTGGAGGCATTTTTTTTAATGTGACGCATATCATAATAGAAATGGACTTTGTGTGGTTTATTCACTCATAATTAAAAGTCTGCTCTTGTAAAAAGTCAAAATTTTCTACAGCCTAACAATTTTGAGGTATACCTTATCCTAAAAAGAAGAAAATGAAGATACATTCTGAAAGTTACATTTTGCTCCCAGAAAAGCAATTAAGGTAAACACTACCCCTTATTTACAAATTAAAGACATCCTCATTGTTTCATCAGTTTTAGCTGATGTAAGGATTGACAAACAATTTTGATGACTTACTTTTCTTAAGTTTCAATTCATTGAAAGACAATGCGTTTCTCGTCTTTCAAAAACTTGTGTTTCATTTTCTGCTATATTATTTTTTTTGTGTCAATTTCAAACTTTTGCGAGGTCAATAAACATAAGGGCTTCAGGTGATGTAAATATGTAATAAAACACTAATATTGTACAATTTTCTGGAACCCACATTTTGGGGGATATTCAAAATGGCCCCAAAATTGGTCTTTATTGCAATTTTTTAAAATGTTCTGCAAACGATAGGTATCTAGTGTTTTGAAACAATTTTCAGATTATGTTGCTTTAAAAAATGTTCAAAATTTAATGAAATCCTTAGAAACTATATCAAAACGAGATTTGAACGGGATTTAAACCTAAGGAGACTATAAATCCTTAAATTATGACAATATTGCTTTCACATTTACCGATTTTAAAAATAGACCCGAACATAAACGATTGTCAAATGAATATTGTTTACTTGATGTTTCTCTGAACGAATTACCTTAAATGGGCGTTTGATTTCAGCTTTCAGTCAAACGTTGTCCGAGTACGCTGTGTCAAGTCTGACGGGAGGAGCTGTGCAACGTCTTCAGGACAGTACGTACATTTACAATGACATCAAATTTTCCATGGTGTAGAAATTCACGAGCGTTTACCATCACGCCACTGTGTAAAAATGTATTAAACACTCTTCAATCTAATTGTTTTTAGGACGTAAACAGTTATTCTTTCCTGAAATTAATATTATCAACTAATGCTTAGTATTGTTACTTTATTAAGGTGCCGAATCAGCAAAGGCCAACATAGATGATATAAACACAGAACTTACTAATCAAAATTTTATTGCTGCTATAAATATGATGCAAGCAATGCCTGGTGTTACGGGGATTGCAGTACCCACGGTAAGTTAATTTAAAAAAAAAAACCTGCGATCTATAGCGTTTATTCAATATTTCAACGTGGGCAAGTTTTATTACCCCCTCCACACACACTAACACACACACACACACACACATTATTAAGACCAACATGTATACAATTTTGTCGTGATTGGTTAAACAGCCGAAGGAAGTGATACAATATATCATCGTTCACAATTTGCTGGATTGTTTACCTGGCCAGTTGCTTATTTTCTAAGTACGCAAATTTCCATTCTTAAATGTTATATTAAATATATAACGTTCGGTGTTAATATTTAGGACTGTAAGTTGTGAAGGTTTTTCTTGCTCATATAATCGCCAGTTCAAGTTTTCGAATTACGTTATTTCTAATATACTTATATTTAAATGATGTTCGCCGCTTACAAAAATATGCTCTCATGTAAATACAGATATCAAAAGATAAATTGATGGTGATCTAATAAAATCACATATGGGCAATCACACCACTGTATGCGACTCCTGGAGTCATAACCGCGCCTATTAACACACCGGGTTTCTTAGCGCAACACTCTATAGCGCTCCGTAAAACTGCAGTATTGTCGAATAGTTTGAAATAAACATAGATTTATTGATTTATGTATTTATGTATTTAATTAATCTTAGTACAACTTGAATAATATGTGCAATGTGGTACCTCCTTCACTTACTGTGTGACCGTTTACATTTGCTGACGTGAGAAGATCGTTTTATTTTCAATATCTCGCAAATTCATGCTATCCTCGATGGAATTCTATGCAAACATCCGTTTAGAAAATATGATCGTATCCGATGACATCAGTCATTTAACGACGTTTATTATTAACTTTAATCGTCTGACCCAATTACACAAAGTAATAATAAGTGTTGGTGTAAGACAACAGTTAAGTTGTTATGAACTATTCGAATCCCCGTGTTATTAAGAATTATGTTTAATTTTATGATGCTAACATGTTACATACATTTTGTGTCTCTTGTCTTATGGTATAGTTTTAATACAAATGTCTTTCTTCTAGAAATGTTTCAGGTCCTTTTTTACAAATGAATCTATTTTACATAACCACATACATGTTGTTTAATTACAGATAACCTTACCAACTGTGGACACCACTATTCTGACTGATGTAAGCGATCCTTTGCATAACTAACAGTAGTTAATTTATCACAGCATTAACGTTGACCTTACGTCAAACGTTTGTATTGAGAACCTTGCTGAGCGTAATGGTCTGTGTGCTCTTTGTTATCCCCTAATATAAGCACTACTGTATTACAAGTATAGCGTTATAAACTCGTTATCAAGTATGCAAGAGCGAACTAATATAGGCGTAGCCTGTTCAATCCTAATCATTTACCATATTGAATAAAATTACTTGAAAGTAGCGTTATTAATTCATTATCATTGATGGTCATTGTGGGGATTAATGTTTGAGAAGAAATTTAGAAACTTCTAAATAGACTTTTAAGAAAAGTGAAAACATTGTTTCAAAACCACAAAAATAGAAAACAGCACCATTGTTAGTGTGCATTTCCTTACTATTTTGACATCAAATGATATAACCGCGCGCAAAACTTTTATTTGTTGACTTTAGTACTGCCGAAAGTTTCCGGGAAGTTGTCGAGCTGGAAATAGTCGAAATTAATTTTGCTTGATTGACGATCTTTAAAAAGAAGTAGGATATATATAACAGTTATGTAAAATTATATTTAACAGTTTTTGACAAATTCCTTTCAGGGTTTGTTGTAACTTGTCCGGCGATACCATCTCGGGATCCCCTGCGCTGGCCTCCCCATTTTACCCTAATGAATTGCACGTCACGTGAAAACTATTCTAACAACAAAACATCTTGTAAAGACAGTGTTATAATATATGATTATCTAACACAACTACCGGTTAATGTACAATTCCATTGTTTTTTCCTTAACGTTAATGGTTATGACGTTACCTCGGTTCAATCCGGATACGTTTAAAATCCTCCCTTATTCTGACATGATTGTGGACTTTTTAAAATTTGAATTGTTTTCTGAAAGTTGAACTGTCTTCAAAATGATGGTGAATTTTTGTTCCCAGGTCGATTGCTTTTTTTGTCCTTTTGTGGTATAATTTTAAGAGCGACATTTCTAGGTTTGAATCAACACTAAAATGATGCATGGATGTACAACGTTTCCTGCTCTTTCTTTACAAATATCATAGAAATGAACAAATAGAAGAGATAACCTCAAATATGGAAATGAAAGCGCTCACTTTAATAAATTAGGTATTGGGGATTTTGGGAGAATTTCGTGTAACTGTTATAATACATTGTTACCTACATTTACTTTTTAAGCTATCACAACATATATGTATACTTATATCATTACCTTCAAATACAGGATCATGTCACGGATCTAAAACGTCTTTGGTTTTCCCCATTTTGTTGTTTAATCATTATATGTTACATTTCTGTTTACCTTTCAATAGTTTTGGTAACTATTTATTACAAATCACCAAATTAAATGTTTAACTTCATACTATTGGCAAGCTGTATACTTTAAAAAATCAACCTTCATTTTTATGATTAAAATACTTTGAAAACGAAATGAATGTACTCCCATTTAGATAACCAGTGATCTGAAGAACAGCGTAAATGGTGCTACTACGGGCATTCAAAGTAAGTATGATTTCATTTTACATTTACATACCGTTACCCGTGATTGAGTAACTGGCAAGTGGACTATACTTAAGTGGGAAACGTTATTTACAGTGTATCCGATTAAGATGGATAAATGAATTTTAGCTAGTATTTTATTTTCAAAACTCTAAACTAGAAAATTAATGACATTTAGGTTATTATTATTATTGAAGTTATCAACCCTTTAAGTGTGTTCAAGAAGTATGTTTTATTTCGATTTTGCAGCACAGCTTGATGACGCCAAGAAACAGGTTTCAGACATGTCCACTCAAGTCAATAGTGTCGTAAATGGGATGAAGGACACCGTTGAAAACGTGAGCAATCAGACCTTCATAATTAATTAATTGAACGCTTCATTGAACAGTTTGACATGCATATCAACAGCACTCATCCAAAATGAATAGGAGATCCCTTCGTATACGAATACGTATATGTTTGCCACAATGTAGTTACATAAAAACTAATCTTTTTCTCAAGAGATATGATTTTAACATTAAAAAAGAGTTTAGCCTCAGGAATGTGCCTTGTGAAACATGAGGGGAATCATATACCGTCACATAATGAAAACTGAGATATGCTTTTCCTGCATGTACCTGCATAACTATTTTATCAATTCGCACACTGCTCTGGTACTTATTTTTCATATCTATCTGTACTTATAATATTATGTATGTTTTTTTAAAATTCGCATTAAAGGTTTACGCCTGTATATGACATGCCGTTATTTCATATGATGTTGTCTAGGCGGATGGTCGGTTGACTTGCTTTCCACCTCATCTACATTTGTACTTTAACCATTCTTGCTATAACTATATGTATCTTGATTATCTGTTATGTCGCATGCTAAAATGAGGTATATTGTCTCATTAATAAAAGAGTTAGGGTAGTTTGAAAATTTAAATAGTTTATGCGACTAAAATTTTGTATTTTGATCCTATATCATCGAAAAATCTTGCCGGTGGAATTTCGTTTTTTTTTTAAAAATACGATGATATTCAGACCCGGCACCTGGATTCAGCTAAGGAATGGCGGGTTGTTGAAGGCAAAAGTAGGTCACTGTGACATTTATTATACCTTTACACCTTTGACTTTTTGTCAAATTAAAAGGTTTTTACCGATTATTTTTTACTATAAAGCTTAGAATCACCATGTGGTTTTAAAAAGTACGTCTTGAATTAGCAGAGAATCGCATTATTTAGTACCTATTACACATATTACCACCAATCCATATAATCTGAAGTAATGAGTGCGGAAACTATATCAATGTTACTGAGGCCTTGGTTTTCAACTTTATCATACTATTTGTTTGCAATTATCTGTTTTACAACTCCTAGTATCGCCTTAAAGTAAAATATGTTATTTACTTTACAAGTGGAGAGCTAACTATGTTTTGTTGCACTCTAAATGTCACCTTTACATTTTGTTTTGTAGGTTAGAAACTCCAACTTGGATAGCATCAAAGATACGGTCGGCGACACCGTGGATACCATCAAACCGTTTGACCATTACAGGTAAGTAAACAACCACTTACATGTATACTAGATATAACACTATACTTATCTAACGTTGATGCTCCTCCGGTGTAGTTTTCACTCTGATTTAATTATCCGTGTTTCGTTGTCATTAGGTTCCACTTACAGTCCTTTTAAATGAGGAAGTACAATAAAGGTAAATATCGATAAAAAATATACAATAACAGGTAACGTGTAGGAATCAAAACGAAAGGAAAGACAGCTCGACCGCAAAGCACTGGAAGAGTTACCAGTTGCTCCGAAAAAACAAGAGTAAAAGTATCGTATTCCCGAATCCGCCCCCCTCTCCCCCCAAAAGAAAGAAAACAACAACAAAAAAAAACAACAACAAAAGTTCATGAACACATGGATTCGTGTACAAAAGCTTGCAGTGTACTCTACCGCTGAAAAGTTCTTAATGTCAAACATGTAATTACATCGTAGACATTTGATTCGTGGATGAAGAGTAAAGAGTACCCACGTAATCAACGAAATTAAAAGAACCCATGAATTTGTGATTTCATAGTATGTTTCATTCGGTCGAATCACTCAATATTGACAGGGAGTGTATGTTGTAGATGGATTGCTGGAGTAGTCATCGGCGGAATCATCTCTTTGATTGTTGGACTACAGTTTTTTGGGTTGGGATTGGGTGTATGTGGCAGCTGCGGCTCCCCTCCAGAGGATTCCAAAGGCTGTATGTCCAACTCTGGCGGAAGAATGATTATTGCGTACGTACTATTATGTGGTTTTGTTAGGACGTGTCTCCATCCGATTGATGTCACTTCATGAATTACTTACGACTTAATTTAATCAACTTAACCATCGCTTATTAATAACATTGAATCAAATGTTTAAACACACTTTTCGAGATATTTCACAGCAATGTTGTTTATACAATAACAAAAATCTATTTTACAATATCATTTCGAGCTGCCAAAAGGGTTCACTATTTATCGATCGTCAAATCAGATCTAGTTATCTCCCTTTCACACAATATGCTTTATAATTGTAAGTCTTTTCAGTTGTTAATTATTCTTTCATTTTGTTTATTTCAATGAAATTACATATGCTGGACATTTATAAGAAATTCATTCCTGATGCATGGAACTGCGTTTAAATATATTTTTCGTCTCTCATCAGATCGATCATCTTTATCTTCCTGTTTGCGTGGCTCTTGATGTTGTTGACAACACTGCTGTTCGCTGTGGGAGCACTGACTGAGAAGTTCATGTGTCAACCCTTGAAGGACCCACAACTCACGGATATTGAATCGGTGAGAGAGCAATTAAACTTAGTGTTATCATTGTTTTTTAGAGAATACAACTAGGCTAGTTTATATTTTAATCCCATGTGTTTGATAGAGAGTGGAATGTGCAAAGTATTGATGCACTTTGTCATCAAGCGATTTTGTTATAAAATATGCTTTTGATTTTACATCACAATCATTGTTTTTCACAGGAAATATAGTTCTCACTTATTCCTATAATATTATTGCCATGTTATTTCATTATGAAAAGTCCGAGTTGAAAAATCACATATCCATTCTGTGCCAGCCTTAAACCATGTTATGTATGAATATATTCAAATGATCGTTTTAGATATTGTAGCATCTTTTTCACTGCTACAAAATATGATTTATACAGATTATGAAGGACTTTGTTGATATCAAAACAATGCTGAAGTACAATCGGGAACCACCCAGCCTGGGAACAATACTTAGGTAAGATAATATGCATATATAATGAAATATAAATAAACAGTTCCCCCTGATGAACCTCCAAAGAGGTGTAAGCGCTAGGGAGGTACTAAGAAACTATTGTCAATTGTTTTTTTAAAATCATAAATATATAAATTATATATTGAAATATTAATCTACATGTATTAACATATTAATCTACAGTACATACTGATAAAGGTAGAACAACACATATACAATGTATATTTAACGGGTTACTTGTCGATAAATACGTATTGTTTCATGAGTGTAATGCACGAGTGAACACATTAGTGTATTCTGCCATACAAGTGTTATATATCATACGTGATTCTTTTGTCAGAAAATATGTATCGTGTCCACATAACTAACGTACTTGTAAAAACCAAATTGACATATTTATCTTAGTATCACTAAAACTTGTCGTTTACTCCAAATTTGCAACATCAAATTATTGTGTACTGTTGTCTGATAAACATTGACGAGTGTTATCTGATGTTTTGTAACTTAATATAATCGTTCTCGGTCTGACTTATAACAAGGTTAATTAACTTTATATATAAAACTATATAATTATTTCCTTTAATTTGTTTATGGAATATGATTATATATTGATTATGATATCTGACGGTATACACCAGGACATGCATATTGTATTATCTTATTATCACAATTTTTTTATCATCAATTTGTTTCTTTCATCTGTTTTTATGTTAAGGTACTTCGATACAAACCTTAAATGCAGAAATCGAAATAATTATGATAATGTTAACATTTGTATGAACACAATGAAAACTGTTTCACAATATTAATACGGATTTAGATGGAAAATCATGACTGACTGTTACAATGATAAGAATGTGCCTAATTGATTAATGTATCAACATTGTTATTTTCGAAAGTTGATAAAACTTTTGGTTAAATTACAGTTCTTGCAAACAAAACCAGGCGATCTATAGCGCTCTACAAATGGACAAAATGGGAAACCTCGTGGATTTCCCGGCACTAGAAGCACAAATAAAACAGGCTAAACTGGTAAGTTATGCTATGTTAATATTGCCATTATAAATAGTTAGTTGTTCAACTAAATAAAACAAATCGAATTATATTTAAAACTTTTTATTTCTATTGTGGATTCTTAAAACCGAGGTAATTTTCAAATGAACTCGTAGTTCTACAGATCATCCCGCTTGAATGATGGAAAGTAAACGTACACAAAAGTACGACGATTATGATTCGTATAAAATGCTACTGACTGGCAGATTATCGATACAGCTGTACGATGGATATTATTGCGTCATTTCTAAGGCGAACCAACAAAAGCAATATATTGACAGGTGAAGATTAGTATGATACGGTATACGAGTACAGTTAAATGTAGCATATAGCTTACACCTTAGTACACTAAGAGTGTACAGCGTTGAGACTTTCAGTGCCGTAGTCTAAGATTAAAGGTAAGCTAGTGCACTAAATTCCCTGTGGTGTTGGGTTTCTATGTCTTACAGTGTCTCACAGTTAATCCAAAGGACTCAATTTGTCCTATTATTTTGCACCTAATGCAACAGAATCTTATGAAAAACATCAAAACAATTCTTGTCAAATATCCATGTCATTTTCCTGAATGATTTTATTTGAAAATATTGAACCTATTAATTCACGAAGCGCTTCGAGTAATGAATTTGAGCATTTAGTATGAAAACAAGAAAAAGAAAACATTTCAATTTGTGGATATTTCAAGAGTCACAGAGTGCAAAATTATATAGTATAACTAAGAATCATGTGCAATCGATTGGTGTTCGAGGTTCAATTCTTCCTGTTGTATTTTCCGATGTGAATGGAGTTATTGGAATTCTGAATTTGTCCTTGTGTACAGACAACAATTTTTATTTCTTAAGTGATTTTCAAGAGACATCAATTTCTTTAGTCAGGATTATGATATTATGTATACAAATGCAATTGCATTCAACAGAAACATATCAGATCAGAGAATAATCACTAGAAAAACGAAGAAGGAAGCAACTATTTAAAAATAGAAAACCGTGGAGCCATTTCGTCCAATGAAAACTTGGACGGTGTTAAGTATTTAGCTTAAGTAAATAGTCTCTGTATTTGACTGTGCTTCTGACATAAATACTAATTTTTGAGTGTTCTGGGTATTTGGTCATTTGCGAGTCCACGAGTTAACGTTATTTATATATTATTGTTGATTATTAAACCTGCGTGATTTTATACACTTTATGTTATATTTACGTTTTTATATATCCGGAGACATTGTTGACACAAAATTGTGGTTGATAATCATTGAAGGATTGAATTCTTTTGTGTTAATTGGGTTTAAACCTTCATGGGCCTTGAAGTAAATTTAATGAACTGCCAGGAAATTATAAATTCTAACATATCTATGGCACGAAAGATGCTGTATTGATTACAATGTTAATACAAAGTTGCACATAAATGGATTTTTATATTAAAAACTATTTTTTTATGGGCCTTACTCCTGCACTAATTGTCGCAAGTAAGCATACGCCAGCTGAAAAGTTAATGGGATATTTTACTCGTTGGTATGTACATTGAGTCCAACTTTAGTAGGAGAAATGTAACTATTGCATTTAACCTGCAACTGTGTTATTATTCTACAGAAAAATCACATAAACATTAACAATAAACTATAATATTGACTTTACACATTCGTTTACTTTGGTTTTAACAGGATATGAAGACCCAACTAGACAATGTAACAACTCAGCTGTCGGGGGGATCATTCGGTGGAGTTAACTTGAATCCATCAAGTGTCACAACCAAGCTTGATCAAACAAAAACTGTCATTGAACAGCTAGATGTAGATGGCATCGAATTAAAGGTATACATATACATCATGTACGTATTTCAATATGCTTTATTTATTTTACAACGATTATGAATTATTTTTTCAACTGACATGACTACCTCTTGTTCACTCGGATGGAAGCGTGAAGGGGGTCTAAATGTGAGAGGAAACCTGAGCACCCGGAGAAAACTAATCGTGTCGGGCAAGTGTCGTAATAATGTTTCACATCAGACCGAGAAGTCGCCCCCTCGGCCGATATAAAACAAATCTTGCTGTGCATTATCAAAAATTAGGTGCATAGCTTAGGGATGTTTTTGATGAAACAACATTTGACTAAAACCGAGTGACTATATCATGTCCCTGGGAATAACAAGTGTTAACTCAAACCTAGATCTGTGCGCACTTTTTAACAGAATGACAATATATATTCGAGACAAAGTGTTGTGAAACACTTTTTCGAGAATGAAGCTAATATATTCGATGCATTTCTTACCATTTCAGATAACTGGTCTGAAAAATAAAGTGGACACTTTGGCCTCGGTAAGTTAAGGTTATATCCTGTACGTTAAACACTTAAAGTGGCCAATATCCTAGATCATTTATCACCGTTACCTTTAACCATTAAGGTTTAAGTTTACAAATTTCTACTTACATTATATGTATCATTATTATCTTTATTTGACTGTCTAATTTAACGTTTGAAAAAGTAATCAAAATGTAATCTTATTTCACGTCATCTCTTAATGTTTTGTTTTCAATACCAACCAAGTATCAATAGGATCATAGGCACGATAAATAGTGCGTATTCATCATTTTATGTATGTATTATATGCGTATGTTTAATATTTACATCGTAAATGAGTTATTACTATTTACGCAGCTCCCAGTCCTGACTAGCACTCAAAAACAACAAATGACCGCCCTCACTGCGTCACTGGTAAGTTTCTTATCATTGATTTGGCTGACGTGAAAGAATACCATAGAAGATAATTTTAATGAAATGCATTTAATCATCAGGTAATTGTTGTTGCATTGTACTCCAATCATATATATATAAATCTGTGAAATGGCACTGTCTTCTTTGTTGTTTATTTTTTGGAGAAAGAAAATATCCAAAGCATTATAATTTACAGTGACTTTTTTCTACCTTGAGTGAATTATCTAGTCAATATAATCTTTGAGTCTCATTGTGGAAAATAAACTCAGGAGAATTGATTTTAATGGCATTAATATTATATTATACTATTATACCTCATTCACATAAACACATTACATGATTTGATAATGTTGATTGGCAGCATAACGTTTTTCAGTCAAATTTCCCACATTCAGGGTCTCTCTAGAAAATTTATTTAGAGTTATCAGCCCTTAGCTGCTAGTGACTAAAGCAGGCGATACCAATGGCGTGTAGGCTGGAAAGTATTATTGATGTCTTATTGTTCTAGTTTGATAGAACATTTAAGTCCTTGTAGTGAAACATGATTATTCGTTCCTAGTCGATCAATCCTAAAACGACAACAAATATATAATCAATCTTCAATAGTTGGGTAACCTCTATGGATACCTAGTATTGAGTGTGTAATGAATATGGAGTCAGTTGTTTTGTAAAAACAAATTGTTGAACATTTCTAAATATTTATGCATACTATTCACTGGTACAGTGTATATAAAATAACAGTACGGTCTTTATATTTGTGAAACAAATACATAAAATCTTTACACAAATCGGAAATACATGTAAGTATGATAATAAAGCCATGTTATTACAACTGGATTAGGTGATGTCTTATACACATTAGTTATAAAAAGTGTTTTTATTTGGCGACAAATATTAAATATGGATACATAATATTTACCTACAGACATGAATGTATACATAGTTTGGTAATAAATGAAACATTTGTTTGGTAAATTATGATTTTTTTTTAAAAGTTTCATAATTAATATATATATTTACAACGATACTGTAGTTTAGATGCTAGGTTAACTGCATGACTAGGTATTTAATCTATAGTTACTCACGTGACTACCGTCAAGCCATAGCCGAAGTTATGATGACGCTGACAAATAACTGCATACATGTATTAACTTTTCTTCAGAATACTATTCAACAGAAGTTAGTTCCTCTTAGGAGCCTGAAAACCTCTATTGGTGTGAGTAATACTTGTACGAGTTTGATATTTCGCCAATTATGCTTGTATTTACTTATTGTTACTTATATCCAATAGACCTCTGTTGTTTGTGATTTCTCCTTATTTAAGTTAATGCTGTTGCTCAGCTATTATGGTGGAGACGTTAATATGTTCAATGCATAATCAACATTCGAAAACGCAAAAAAGAACACGTAAGCGCGAAAGGTATTTAAACCAGACTAATTGTTGATCTTTGAAAGTAAAATAAGCACGTGTATCTATTTTGTATTTTCGTCAATCTTTGTTTTTCTAGCCGTTGGTCACTGACGTTAAGTACCAATTAGGGCAGGCGACGACACAGATCAATACAGGTGGAATAATGACCGGGGTATGTACAGTGTAGAATTGGAAACAATACACGAATAGTACACTATTTAATTTACAACAACATACACGGCAATTGCAACTTAAATAATGAATTTCAAAATAGTCGTATGAATCTTAGAACCCTGCAGAGGTATCATAAATGTATTAATATGGTTTGCAACAAAGAACTATCAGACGATAGTTCTTTGTTGCAAACCACGGGGAATTTCTTAGTGTCCTGCACGCGGTAGGCAACGGCGAAACCAATTTATTGTGCTGGACCTTTTGTCGTTATTTTCCTTCCTGGTGACCATATATAAAATTATAGTGCAAAGAGGTTTGTCATCAACTTACCTCCCTTGTGCCCACGTTGGTGAACTTTATGCAAATTTCTATATCTCTACAGGATATGTATTCTTTTTGTACTGATACGATTGTTTAGATTTGACCTGTGAAATAAAGCAATTGATACGTACATTATCTAACAACTGAACTACATTCTGTAAAGTTCTATATATAATTGGATTGGAAAAAACGTCGAATTGAGTTTAACGGGTAAAACGGTCATTGACTGACTGATCAAGTGGGAGTCCTGTCCTATTCGATAATTCATGTGCTGTGCAAACACATCGGATTTGTGTTAAAATCCTCCAAATACCATTGTTTTGCGTTTTGCCTTTTCGGCGTCTTGTCCAAACCTATCCTGTAGTTATGTAAGGTGCATATCCTGGTTAACATATAGTTATACTCAAAAACCAAAAAACTGATATGAAATACTTGTGTGAGCATTATAAGATTTTGATTTGATCCTATTTGCCGCTTTCCAACATGATTAATGTGTACACTATGTAAATCGTGTAACATAAAGTTAAAGAACTATACAGTATATAAGATAAAAGGGAGTGTTTAATTCAGAAGAGGAATGGGAAAGCTTTGATTGTGGTCATGCGAATTGGAGAACATGTACAATATTTCACTAGAATGTTTGTTTCAAGTGTGCGTCCATCAGTCTATTGTTTCGTATCTTTTAATATGTTTTCTCTGTAATGCGTATTCAAAAGTATCATGTGATAAAAAAATATGAGTGGAGCATTTCTCTGTCACTTACACAATACAATGAACGGATAATTGCGTATTATTCAGAAGTTTATAAGTCAAAACGTACCCTGGGCGTGTTTTGTGTCTACCGCCGTGGTGCCCTAGACTTATAGAGTGCAAGACACATTATTCGATCAATTCCGTTTTACTCACTTTCTCAGACATACTCGGGAACCGAAAACTACATTGCCTTTTGAAACGTAGCAACAACGGCATCGAGTCAAGGAGGTAGTTCAAGTGATATTGAAGGGATTACCTCCCTTGTCTCATTAAGCCATTTTGCCATTTCTGTACACGTGGATATATATAAATAAATCCAATTAAAATTATTAAATTATTTGGATCGATATAAAGTTGCTTTTTTATCCTATCAGCACTCTTAATTAGTGAAACTGATTGAAATTTAATAAGAATTTATATTTTTTTTCAAAGAAAGTCAAAATTATGTTTATATTGTGTTCAAAACATTTTCACTGACATTCAATATAAATTTTTTTAAACAATGGAGTTTTTTTTTGTTTTTGTACGAAATATTTTGTTTAATATGACAATGATCATGTTTCCAGAGTACAAATATACGTAGTGCGTCACATGAATTAAGGATATTTTGTTTTTATTACTTGTACTCCTTCCCATATTATTACCTGTGTTGCTTGGATGTTAAAATATTCAGTAAACATCTTTTTACATGTTCATATTCCAGCTGTCGGAAAAATTCATCAACAACACATTCGATATTGTGGATCTCTTCTATTCAAGCACAAAAAATGCGGTATGTTTGAAAAAATAAAAGATAAATGTATTCTTTATTACCAAATTGACTTGTTGAGCACAAACGTTTAATACAAAGTAAAATGCTGAATGCACAAATGGAAAACATAAATACACAGTAATCGAATGCACGATTAGAAAACTTAAATACCAATTAATTAAATACTAATTTGACATTCAATAATACATTCATGCCAAATGGGGTAACTTGATAAGTACGCATATTGTCGACTTGTCGATCTGTAGGGGAAAAAGTTTTGTCCACGAGCATATTATTGATTTCAGATATACCACGACCTTGGGAAATGTGGTCCAGTTTGGAACTTGTACAACTCTATCGTGATTGTGTCTGTGTGTCAGTACACTGTAGACGGACTGGTAAGGAAACATTTATTTAAAGGTGGCTACACCAATATTTCATTATTTTCCAAGTATCAGCAAGATACACGTGTAATTAATTTTCCATAAATTCCGCAGTTTTCATCAGGTAGAGAATTTAAGTGTCGAAAGAATAAAAAATAACCTCATTATGCACTTCAATAGACTCAGCCAGACCTGCAAGGTAATATATCGCAAAATGCAGTATTTTATTAGTATCCATGCACTAAAATGTTATGATCCCGTTAAATCTTTCTTCATTTTGATTGGTACAAAAGGCAATACCCTGTATTCTACTCTAAATATTATATTTCGCTTTCGATTCACAACAATAAAAATATCGTGAACACCGATCGTAACCAATGCTTTAATAATATATGGCGATAAACCGTTATATGTGCTAAGAACTGTAATCAGGACGAAATTGTTGATGACACATCAGCATAAATATTATAATAATGTCATTCAAGCGCCTTAACATTAACATCGATCAGAGGAACTTCGTTTACACAGTATTGTTACTCCATTGTTCTGGAAACATGTCAGTTTCTTTTAAATATATGTTTTCAAACCTATATGACCAACAAATTTCGTACAATATTCAACATACATTTATATATATTTATTTTACTGTATACAAGCATGTTCCCAAACTAAAGTTACCCAGATTGACATTACTCGCTCATCTCGATTTTAGTAGTCATATATTGATTTTTACGTTTTTCGTTTCCTCAGACATTAAAATTACATTTCGCTTTAAGTAAATAATCTGCTGTTAATATTTTCCCTATCATTAACAGATTCTATATTGATCAGTAATTGAATAATATGTATGGTAGATATTGGTCTTGTTATGTTAATCGGAGAAAAGTCATATGAACAATATTTTCTTGGTTCCTTTTTATGTGTATTTGTTTAGAGAGTAAAATATAGATGTAAATTAATACAAAGCTACCTTAGAACATCGACGTTTTACATTGGTCCCCTGCTCGACTGATGTAAAGTGTGCTAACAACGTATTATTTCAGAACGGGTTTTGGTTTTCTTTGGGTTGGTGTATTTTCTTCCTGCTCCCAAGCATTGTGTTTGGTATCAAGCTCTCCAATCTGTTCCGGGATATACCCACTGGATTGTAAGTATAACCTTTCTGCTACAATTAACTGTAATCACACGCTTATTTCAATTTGCAGCATTTTTGAAACAAACTAAGAACTATCATGAAATAAATTTTATACGAATTGTATTATAAATGAAATATATTTTTCGTTAACGATAAAACATACATGATATTCCAACATTATATTAGCGGTTACTCCCCTTACTCTGCATAGCCACAGACGTCTGTTTCCCTATCTGTTATATATAAATATAAGTGACAGTGACCAGAAATCATCGATTGCATATATCTTTGAACTAACATGCAGAGTTGAACAGAACAATACATATATATATATATAAAGTCGACATTGCTTATTTTCATAATGGTTTCTTTCTTTTTCCAGGAAAGAACCGAGGTGGAACGACAGGTATGTTTTGTTAACTATCCTCTGTCATGCACTTATTATCTTAAGAAAGAACAAAAATGCTATAACTTTAGAGGTGACATATTAATGCATTTGCTATATTTCATTTATATTTGGACAAAACAACAGAGGAGAAAATCGTATTACTTGTATTTCCAACTTTCGTTTCAATACATTTATCTTGTTTTTCAGGAACAAAGTTCGCCCCCAAGATGCCTTAGGATTCTGACTAAGGCACTTCAACGACCTGCTAACATCCAAGAATATGAGTTAAATGCAATTTAAACCATTTTTTTTATCACAAATAATGAACCGTGTGTTGTCATTCATTCTTGGCAATTATCATAAAATAAACTAATGGCTTTAGTGCCATAAGTATTTGTTGAATCCGTCCAGAAATGAAATGTTTGTCAGCCAAGAAAATATCAGGTTCCCAATTAGCAATCCTCCGTCCAAAGGGTTTATCAGTTTGAGTATAAAGTGTGTACATATCATTACTGATATATTTTAAACTATAGACTTTTTATTTTATACCAGAATACCTATTTTAAATACATATTCGATAACGAATTGTAGTAGTGCTGTTATCATATGTTTTTTTGTTTGTTAAAGAAATTGATCATAAATGAAAATATAGATTTATATAATTAAAAAATGCGATTTTTATTTTGTTAATATTTGCATCTTATCTATATCGCTTGCAAGTTTCTACGAAATGCAGTCAATCGATGTCAGTAAGTTTGTTCGTCAACGTTAAATGTCTGAGGTATAAGATGGACTTTCCGAGAATGAAATCGTACTTAGCTAGGATATTATCGGCCGTAAAATATTAACATGAGCGCATGGCGCATGCATGACTTCAAACATGGACAATCATTTGTCATACTAAGGCTGAAGGAATTCAGCCAAAAATATTTAGTGTTTGTTGCTTTTAAAGCAACTTCATTCTGATAATATGCATAAATTCTCTACTTAAAAAGTGTATGAAAATGCATTTATGACAGAGGATTACTTACAAAGATTTCAGTATGGTCAACTGTTAGATTGAGTTCCTTTTTTATTCTGAATTTCGTATGAAACATCCAAAGAATGCGTTTATTTTTGTTTTAATGTATTTGTAGCCTGATTTATATTAATCAATACGTTATAAATTGTCATTCTGATATAATTTTGTTTTAGTGCTACGTCTTGTGAATTTCTCCCTATGAGATGCGAATTTTCTCAAACCTAAACAAAAGTATATAACTTTTATAATAATTATATAATTTATAAATTTTTAAACTTAAGATAATAAAACGTGTGCTTTGCCCTAATAATGGCCGCCTACTGGCATAGGTATTAATAAAAACTTCCAGAAATGAAATGATAGTCCCTTCAAAAACTATCGATTTTTCTTGTTTCATAAATTTCCGTCAAGAGAGTCATCATTTCGGTGTGGATGTATTGTTTTGGTAACAAAGTAACCAATACATTTTCAGCTTTATATATATTCATATTTTTAAATATTTTTTTATTTTATACATAAATGTTTGTTTTTATAAATAGTAAAATTATTGATTGAAGGCGTGCATTTTCTTAAAGTGTTAAAGATTTTTGTTTTACAAATCAATAATTTTATAATTATATATATATATATGCGATGCAGCTACTAGCTTTATATATTTTGGAATATATTTCCTTCATCGTCCATTTTTGATGTTTAAGAGTTTCTATGAAATGCAGTATCAATCGACATTAGTAAGTGTTTCAATAGAATTTAGTGTTATTGGGAAGATATGTTAAAAAACAAAATATGGAATCTCGTTCGAAAGCAATCTAGCAATTTTATGCTGGAAATAGGACATACTAATATACTATTTTAGCAACATAGTGATAATGTTGTACTTCAACCAATATCGAAATGTATACGATAAGAAATAATATAATTATATTACGTTCTGTCAATATTTAAGAGCTTTCTTACATAATAACTGTTGAACAAATTATGGTAAATTTAATTGTGATAGGTTTAAATTTATTTCATATAGACAAGACTTATTTACTTATCTTTTCATACCTTTTTTTTCTTTTTTTTCTTAAAGGTAAGTCAAAAGTAGGCATTTATATAAAATAATAACGATGCATTTTTGACAGGACTATTACTTTCAAATATCAATATTCTGACACTTGTATTTTACTTGTCACACATGCTAAACGTTTGATTGGAATTTTCTTTTAAGCATTTATTTTGTATGAAATCTGTAAAGAAAGGTTTGTGTCAGTTTTTAATTATTGTTTTATTGTCCATATCAATTTGGTTATAATCTATGCATTTTACATTATCATTCTGGAGTAGTTTTGTGACAATGTTACTCCTCTCTTGTACATCTTCAACCTAATCAGATATACATATACATTGTTTTGCTTGGTGTGTCGAATGCTTGCTTGATAACTTTTAGATATAAACACGTTTTGGAACTATAGATAATAAAATCTGCAACGAGCTTATGCTGGTAATTGTGTTTTATTAATACTGCCAATAGCCATATTTTAAAAGAACTCAATATTGCAAAATATACCTAATGTTTTATCCTCGATTTCTTGAATTAGCGATGGAGAGGCTGCTATTTAAAATGAATATTAAAATTCTACCCTTATGCAAAGTGAGTGGATGTATAGTTATAGCTTTGTCAGTGTCAGTCTGTTCTTCCCTCAGTCAGTAAAAGCTATCACATGAACTCCTGAACAAGTTTAATTCAAATTTTATTAGATTTTGGTGCTCATCTGTCAAGGTTGAAGGGTTAAAAGTCAGGTCAAAAATCACCCATTACAACGTTCGAGGTTAAAAGATTGTACAAAATATCTCACGAACCCCTGAACAAATTTCGTTAATATTAACATCATAGTATGTTACATGGAGTTCTACATCTTAGACGATTGGTAATCGGTGAGGATTAAAGGTCAAAGGTCGCGTGCAACGCAGGGTTAAGGGAAAAGAGGACGGGGTATATAAATACGAGCTTCCGTTCAGGGTAATATCTAAAAAGAACAAGAAATATAATACATAGAACAAGTCAAAATCACAAAGAGAACAAGATAACTCCACATAGAGAACATGGTAATATCACAGAGAGAACGCGGTGTTGTAACAGAAAAAAATAGGCAGATCACAGGTCAAAGTTTTAGCAAATACTAAGCGAAGTATTATAAGCAGAACACAGACGGTTACAGTGCGTCTTCCGTCCGCGTAACGTCCGATTATGAGCTCTCAAGTATGAGATTTTTTATCAATTATTATTATGAAATGAAAAAAATACAAGAAGAAGAATCATGTGAAATATACATATTTAATTGTTTTATTAGAATATTTGTTATTATATCTAATTCTACAATGCATGAAGCACAGTTTTGCATTGGCTATAAAACTCAAGAATGGGGTCAGACTCGCAGGAAACAGAACAAGGTGAGAACATTTTTTGGAGTGACTTGAAATGTTTTCTGACCACATATTCGATATTATTTGATACATCTGGCATGACTACGTATTTCCGTATAATAGTGTTAAACAATTTCTGTCGGCAAGATCATCTATGGCGTAACCTTACTTAGCTTGTCAGTCATATGTAATAATAAATGAATGTAGACCTGCCCTCCCGTTTATACTATTCGGTGTTGACCAATGACCAGAGCTGATCGGTGATATGACAAATATCAAAACACAAATAGACATTACATATATATATTTTTATTGCATTTGATTCTATAATTTCTGTTTGAATGACATCTGACTTTTAACACCTAGGCAAGTGAGGTGCTCCGGTTGAAAATAAATAGTGCCTGTTAGCACAAGGCGACTATGTGTAGTTATTTATAGTTATATTAGACTGTGTCCGATGTAAGTTGTGCCACAAAATCCAAGTTATGACGTTAAAAATAAAAATAAAATGAAAAAGTGCATTTCTTGAATGAACAAAATCTAACAGATTTAGCTAAAATACGGTAATATACAACGTAAGTTTAAAAACGAAATCGTTATTCTTTATAACCCATTCACAGATTTACATCAACCGCTATCGGCATTGCACATCAATTTTTCTATCGTTCGCACATGAAGAGGACACCGGGCATACATCGTTCACACGCCGTGTGTACATGATGCGTTCACTTTATTCATGTAATATTGTGATATCTTTCAATTGTAATATCACAGATTGAGTAAAAGGTTAATAATTACTGCGTGGAGATATAGATTTCTCCCACCCTTCACGGGTGTATCCCCCGTTATATCCGACAAAGGGGGAGATAGCCTCGTGCCGATTCCGATTAACACGTGTTCAATTGTCACGTCATCAAAATGCGTCATCTATAATTTTGACGTCATAAAAAGTAAATGACGATGTTTTTGTTTACAAACATGGCAGACAATTGTCGGTGGAGTTGTGACTAACATAATTGGTTGGGAGTAAAATAATCATTTCCTACCTCGAGGGTGTAACAGAGAAATCTCTAACCCGAGGGTTGATGTATTTTGGTTGTCTGACTTGAGGCTCTGCCTCGGGTTAGACAACCAACAAATAATCAGCCCGAGTTAGGGGAAGATTCTATTAATATTTTATATTTGTTCCATTTTGAAATATTGTAACATTTTACTGTGGAAGTTAACCCATGTCAGTAGTTAATCGATTCATTTATATAATTATTTAATATAGAATTTTCCAATTATGCTGGTACTTACCTAGCCCTATGTCAAGAATACTAATAACTTCTTTCACTATTTTAAATTGCTATTTTAGGAGCTCACCAGGTAGATGTAGAGCTAACTCGATAGGTCATAACTTAAGGTCATACGATACAACGAGAAGATATATTTACCACTGGCGTTACTGTAACTTGATGTGACTGGGTATACAGCTATACTCCTTGCCACTGTAACTCTGGTCACATAGAGTAGTAATTTACCACTAGTTAAACTATACGTCACAATATCGCGTAGTCACCAGATATATTAAATAGTTATTTACCACACGCTACATATATGTAAACTATACGTCACCATAATTCGAAGTCATCAGATACATTACATAGTCATTTACCACTAGCTAAACTATACATCACCATATTTCGAAGTCATTAGATCACGAAATAGATATTTACTACTAAATACATTAAATAGATACTTACAACTAGATACATCAAATAGATACTTACCACTAGATGCATTAAATTGATATTACTAGATACATTAAATATATGCTTACCACTAGATACATCAAATAGATACTTACCACTAGATACATTACATAGTCATTTACCACTAGCTAAACTATGCGTCACCATATCTGGAAGTCACTGCACACATTTAAAAGTTATGTACCAATAGGTGCATTAAATATTTAATTACCACTAGCTATACGTCACCATATCTCGAAGTCAATAGATACATGAACTAGTTACTTACCACTAGATGCATTAAATTGATATTACTAGATGCATTAAATATATGCTTACCACTAGATACATCAAATAGATACTTACCACTAGATACATTACATAGTCATTTACCACTAGCTAAACTATGCGTCACCATATCTGGAAGTCACTGCACACATTTAAAAGTTATGTACCAATAGGTGCATTAAATATATAATTACCACTAGCTATGCGTCACCATTTCTCGAAGTCAATAGATACATGAACTAGTTACTTACCCCTAGATGCATTAAATTGATATTACTAGATGCATTAAATATATGCTTACCACTAGATACATCAAATAGATACTTACCACTAGACACATTCAATAGATGCTTACCATTAGATACATTTAAGTGATACTACTAGATACATTAAATAGATAGATACACTAAATAATTTAATAAATAGATACTACTAGATACATTAAATATATTCTTACCATTATATACATTTAGTAGATACTACTATATACATTAAATAGATAGATACCACTAGATACATCAAATAGATACTTACCACTAGATACATTCAACAGATGCTTACCATTAGATACATTTAATTGATACTACTAGATACATTAACTAGATAGATACCACTAGATACATCAAATAGATACTTACCACTAGATACATTCAACAGATGCTTACCATTAGATACATTTAATTGATACTACTAGATACATTAACTAGATAGATACCACTAGATACATCAAATAGATACTTACCACTAGATACATTACATAGTCATTTACCACTAGCTAAACTATGCGTCACCATATCTGGAAGTCACTGCACACATTTAAAAGTTATGTACCAATAGGTGCATTAAATATATAATTACCACTAGCTATGCGTCACCATTTCTCGAAGTCAATAGATACATGAACTAGTTACTTGCCACTAGATGCATTAAATTGATATTACTAGATGCATTAAATATATGCTTACCACTAGATGCATCAAATAGATACTTACCACTAGATACATTACATAGTCATTTACCACTAGCTAAACTATGCGTCACCATATCTGGAAGTCACTGCACACATTTAAAAGTTATGTACCAATAGGTGCATTAAATATATAATTACCACTAGCTATGCGTCACCATTTCTCGAAGTCAATAGATACATGAACTAGTTACTTACCCCTAGATGCATTAAATTGATATTACTAGATGCATTAAATATATGCTTACCACTAGATGCATCAAATAGATACTTACCACTAGATACATTACATAGTCATTTACCACTAGCTAAACTATGCGTCACCATATCTGGAAGTCACTGCACACATTTAAAAGTTATGTACCAATAGGTGCATTAAATATATAATTACCACTAGCTATGCGTCACCATTTCTCGAAGTCAATAGATACATGAACTAGTTACTTACCCCTAGATGCATTAAATTGATATTACTAGATGCATTAAATATATGCTTACCACTAGATACATCAAATAGATACTTACCACTAGATACATTCAATCGATGCTTACCATTAGAGACATTTAATAGATACTACTAGATACATTTAATAGATAGACACTACTAGATACATTAAATATATGCTTACCATTAGATACATTTAATAGATTCTACTAGATACATTAAATAGATAGATACTGCTAGATACATTAAATATATGCTTACCATTAGATACATTTAGTAGATACTACTATATACATTAAATAGATAGATACCACTAGATACATTCAATAGATAGATACTACTATATACATTAAATAGATAGATACCACTAGGTACATTAAATAGATGCTTACCATTAGATACATTTAATAGATACTACTATATACATTACATAGATAGATACCACTAGATACATTCAATAGATAGATACTACTAGATACATTAAATATATGCTTACCATTAGATACTTTTAATAGATACTACTAGATACATTAAATAGATAGATACCACTAGATACATTTAATAGATGCTTACCATTAGATACATTTAATTGATACTACTAGATACATTAAATAGATAGATACCACTAGATACATCAAATAGATACTTACCTTTATATACATTAAAGAATTATTACCACTAGCTTTACTATACCATAACTTAAGGTCACGTGATACACTGAATAGTTTATTTTATTTAATGTCCTATTAACAGCGAAGGTC